TTTAAATCAATAAAGCAAAGTAAGCTATAAATGTGTATTATACCTTCTTTTAGCAACTATCTGAAGAAATCTGCATTAACAGGCCAGTATTTCAATGACTACAGTCCAGGAACTAACTGCAACAGAATCATGGGTGTAAGAGGCTTTTAAAAAATATGGATTTCATGCTGGGTGTGGTGAGGTATACCTGTAATTCTAGTGACTCTAGAGGCTAAGGCTAGAGAATCATAAGTTCAAAGCCAGCCTCAGCAATTAAGCAAAGCCCCAAGCAACTTAGGGAGATCCTGTCTCAAAATGAAAAATAAAAAGGGCTAGGGATATAGCTCAATGATAAAGCGTGCCTGGGTTCAATCCCTAGTACCAAAGGGAAAAAAATGTGGATTCCTTCCAGGTATAGTGGAGGGATCCAAAGTTTGAGATCAGCCTCAGAAACTTAGTGAGACCCTATCTCAAAATATAAAGGACTGGAGATTCAGCTTGGTGATCAAGCATTACTGGGTTCAATTCCCAGTAATTAAAAAAAAAAAAAGTAGATTGCTGGTGGACTCCACCAAGGATCTACTGAATCAAAAGTGAGACCTCAGGGAATTTGCATCCTGCATTCTTAATAACTCTCCCTCCTTCCAAGTAATTTTAAAAACTAAAGTTTAAGAATCACTGTAGTGTGGTATAAGCACCTATCAACCAGAACTATTTGAGGACGACTCTTGGTGTAGCTAACAGTTTGCAGGATGAAATAAGCAGCCTCAAAAAGAACTTGCTTTCCCTTTCTGAATACATTTAGAGATGCATAACAGATGTATTGCCTCAAAATCTCCAAATGTTTCCACTCTTTCCCCAAAACTTCCCACCACAACACAGTAAGTACAAAATGTGTGAGTAAGCCAAGTTAAACATTTCATGAACTTAAACTGAAAAATTGGCTTTGCCTGTCTACAAAGTCCCTTAAAATAATAAAAAATATAAATACTGTAGTCTTTCTCAACATTCCTTTCTTTCAGTTCCTTCTCAATTTTGCTTTTTAGTCAAAGCTTCATAACTTCTGGAAATTTTATATCACTACATGATAATCCAATTTAACACCCAACCAATCCCATGTAAAAATTTTGCTTTAAAGTCTACTACACAAGTTGTGAAATGTTTCCTCAGATAGTTAAAAAAAAAATTCATTCATTCTAGTCTCTTCCTTAAATCAGTGGATTTCAGTGATAGAGTTGGGGAAAAGATTATGGTACTCTTGCTATAGTCTGAATTATAACATTTGAATTCTCACAATAAATACAAAGCACTTAGAATATTACTCTTTAACCCTCATGACAATCCTATAACAACGTTTTATGAAAGGTTGCCTAAGGTCCAAAGAAGTCCAGAATTACACACCTGTAAATTAATTCAAATCCAGGCAATCTAACTCCAGAACCAGCATTTTTAACCACTCTACCATCCTATAATTTGAAGATGCCACCTAAAATTAAGGTATCTAAATCCTCAAGTCACAAAAACCTACCTGATAGCTCAAATCAACTGGGGACAACTTTCTAAAAAAAAAAAAAAAAAATACAAATTCACCTGCCAAAAGCAGGCCTCCTGAATCTAACTATGTGTAGCTTGTGGATTAGTGAATTTAATTTCTTTAATGTCCTTTCAGGTAATTTTCCAGTATATCAAATGCTAGAAACTATTGTTCCAATATGGAACACTTGCAACCTTCAAGAAGTAACTCATGGTCTGGAAGGTAAGTCTTAAATTCTAGTTAATTGAAGCTGGTAATCTACACATGAGAAACTAAACAAAGATTACTGATGTTTAGCATGATTACTCTGAGGTAGAGTTAAACGTTTAGGAAAAATGTTTTCAACATAGAATTTAGAGTCGAAGGGGATATAGTTCTATCTCTGGCAACCCTCTCATTTTAACAGATTAAAAAACATCCTGTATTTTTAAGCATGCTCTTTTAACTCAGTTCACATTTGTAATATTTAGCCAGTAAATATTTGAGGTCTACTACTGTGTGTGCAAAAATAAGCCATTCTATTTCAAAGCATGTTTGAAAACAAGATATGAAGATATGAATTTAGCCAGGCATAGTGGCACTTGCCTGTAATCTCAGTTACTTAGGAGCCTGAGGAAGGAGGCTTGCAATTTCAAGGTCAGTCTCAGTACCTTAGCCAGACCCTGTTTCAAATAAAATAAAGAGGCTGGAGATATATCTCAGTGGTACAGTGCTTACCTAACCTTTTGGGGAAGTCCTGGGTTCAATTCTCAGTATAGCCTACCACCACCAAATAAAAAAGACACAAGTTTGCTTGGAGGATCCATAAAAATGGTATAAAGCTGGGTTTTTGTTTGTTTTTTCCTCTGATACTAGGGATTGAATCTAGGCATGCTTTACCGCTGAGCCACACCCCCAATCCTTTTTCAAAATTTTTATTTTGAGACAGGCTCTCACAAAGTTGTCAAGGCTACTCTCAATCCTTCTGCCTTAGCTTCCGGAAATTGCTGCTATTGCAAGCACGCAACACTGTACCCAGCCTAAAGCTACTTAAATTTTAAGAAAGAGAAATAAAGGGATCCTTGAGGAATAAAGGCTACACTAGAAATACAAGAGATTTCAAAAAAGTTCTTACTCCTCACTGTTGATCCAGTGAACATGGAAGTAGTAGTACCCATCTAGAATTTCAATTTTGAAATACAGGAAAGGGTCAAGGGTCTGAGGAAAGGTTACTGCTAGGGCTCCCACAACAAAGTCATTATAAACACAGAGAGGTACCCATGTGAAGCTGAAGCAAGCTCTCAACAGGGACTGAAATAGAGCTCTCTTTATCAGGAAGGAAAGGAAGCAGGAAATGACCACAGAGGCCCTCCAAAATGAGAGCAGTCCCATCCTAAACAAATTCCTGTATCTCCTACATGATTCCTACTCTAGTCAATGAAGCTCCTATCAATTATGTGTCTTAATTGAATACAATACTTTGTAGTAAGAATTGCCATAAAATGTTCCCCCCTTTATTTAAAAGACACATGAAGCTATTTTTAAAATGTGTTTGTTATAGACTGTTGCCCAGTTAAAGGAAAATGAAGTGAGAAAGGAAAGAGAAGGGCAGCAGAAAGGATAAATAGGTGGGAGAGAAAAAGAGTCATAAAATGAACAGAGGTGGTAACTGATTGTAATGGGGAAAGAGAATCAAGAGCCAACTTTTCATCCCAGTCCACAACTAGCTAACTGAACTTCTTTAGGTAGTGAGCTTCCTCATCTGAAACTTCAATCAGGAGTAGAAGCTGCACCCAAGAAGAATTCATTCTAGGACAAGCCAATCCCAAGAAAAGCCCTCATCAGGAGCTTCAGAGTTGAGAATGACAACTATACACAGAAGAAAGTTATTTCTGATTATTTTATCTGAAGATGGAGGTTTTGTTCCAAATTACACTCACTAGAGAATAACAAAAGGAATCCATGAATGTTGCCAATTCAATCTTACCTGAGTAGGATTTATACCAGTGTTAGATTTGTAGATTCAGACTAAAAAAACTTCACAGTCCTTGCCTCTAATGTGTTTACAATCCAGTTACGGTTTTAGCTAAATACTAAAACAAAAATTGTGCCTCTGACTCTGTCCTTTCCCCAGAAAATCATATAAAGGAAGCAATGACTTCTGGAGTCTTGACACTTACATCTCAATTAAGGAAAATTTTTAAAGAAATTAATTTTAGGGTACCCAAGTTTCTGACTTTAAATCCAGTACATAGTATAAATACTATAGTCATTAAATGTCATCAAGCTATATTAATAAAAGTCCTATTAGACAATTTGAAGGAAAATTTTAATTTGACAAATATTCTGTCTACTGCGAAGATGAAAGCTTCTACCTAATATAATTACCTTGTTGCTATTCATAAATTACAATGCAGATACAAGTATCTGTTTTCCAACTTAATCCTCACTACCCTGCACTCCACCTTCACCTCAGAGACCATTGTGCAAATCATATCTGTTCTTAATGCTTGGCACAAAGGAAGCACACAGGACACTCTGGTTGAATTGGTGATCTCCAAGGTCTTTTCCTGGTCTAAAACTGCCTGACACCTGACATCAAAATATGAACACCGAAGGGCACAATGTGTCACAAATACATAAATTTAACTCACACTGAAACATTTTAGAATTGCCTCTACAATTTTTAAATATATTTTTGCAACTACAGAGTTCACTACCATATATTTTGTTCTATGAGTAACGCAATAGCAGGATTTCCCACCCTTGATTTAAGAAACTTTTATTTGTAAATTTAAACAAGAAGGGGAAATGAGACAATAAAAGAGGAATAAGAAATAACAATTATGGTCACACAGTAGGGGGAAAAAAAAGAGGCTCACTTAGGAGAAGCAGAAAAAAGGGCCTTCCTAGATACAGAACTATAGTTACTTGGCGTAACAGGTTGGTATCTAATTCTAAACACCAAACCAACTGTATTTTAGTAAAGGCCACTGAAACAAATGACTAAACATTATGAAATACAACCACTTCTACTTTCAAGAATTCCCAAACTACTTGAATGGTCTTAGACTCCACGCAAATAAACAGCTCCGCAAAATGATTTCCCTTCTTTTTCACAACCACAATCTGTAGGCCTCTCCTGACCCCCGGCCCATCCAAATCCTTATAATATAAATATTTAAAAAGAAAGAAAGAAAACGGGGCCCAGGTTATGTTTTTCTGGAAGAGACAAGCGCAGATAGAGCACTAGCAGGTTGGTCAGACCTGAATACACAGAGACCAGGTGTGAATGCATGTACAGCCTCCGGGCGACAGAAAGATTTGCTCTACACAGAGCTCCAACTTCTCCTACCCGAAACACAAAGCCGACCCAGTTCCTTTTCCTCTAGTGACAAATCAAAGCTAAGTCTCGACGCGCGGGGGCCGCACGGAGGCAGCCATCCAAGCAGCTCTCGGAAGGCTCCGGCCCGGCCCCGCCCCAGGCCCCGCGCAGCCTGCGCTGTACCTGGCGAAGAAGTCGGCGAAGCCACCACTCCGTCGAGCCCGGGCCGAGGTCCCTGCGGGGCCCTGCTCTGCCGCAGGCGAGGGCACCGGCGGCCCAACCGATGGCAAGTGGTCGCCGGGGCTCTGGCAGCGGCTCACCTCGAACGTGTTCCGAGAGTTCAAGTGGACGTCAGGGAAGCCGTGGCTCGGCTCCGCGCCCACACCCCCACTAGTCCTCCCGGCCGAGCTGGAGGGGGGCGCGCCCTCCTCGGAAGCCCCGGCGCCGGCTCGTAGCGGCTCCAAGTCCTCGCCGCCACTGCCGGCGGGGCTCTCCCCCGAGCCGCTGCCCGAGCCCTCCGACTCTCTAGCGTCCGAGGCTGCCAAGCAGCAGCTTCGCAGTGGGTCCTCCAGCGGCGCGGCCCAGTCGGACGGGTTGTCCGCGCCGTCCGCACCCTCGTCGCCAGGCCCTTCCAGGAGGAGGCGGCCGCAGGGATAGTGGCGGCGCGACTCCGGGCCGCCGGCGCGAGCTAGCCCTCGAGCCTCCTCCAGGTCACGACAGTCCTGGCCCAGCAGAAAGCCCGAGTCCCCGTTGGTCATGCCTCCGTGTCGCGGCACGCGAGGATCCGCCGCCTCCGCGCCGCGGTGCTTGGAGCCGGATCCCGGCGGGCAAGCGCCGGAACGCGGGGCTGCCGAGGGCGGCGGGGCGACGGCCTGGCCAGCGGGGAGGGGACAGTAGCAGAGCCCCGGACCCAGCTGCTCCCCCGCTGCCTCGAGGTAACGCTGCAGCAGCTGCCGAGGCGGCGTCTCCTCCTCCTCCTCCTCCTCAGCCTCCTCGGGCGGCTCCACAGCGCCGACGCCTCCGCCAAAGCCGCCCGTGGCCCGGATCATCTTCCCGTCCTGGCCCACGGGCTCCGGCGCCAGAACCGGGAACAACTTGGCATTTCTTCCCGAGCAGGCTCCGGCATCCTCCGGACCCACCATCTAAGGGCCGGGTAGTCGCGGCCGGAGCAGGCGGAGGGGGACTCGCCGGCACAGGCTAGCCTAGAACAGCCCTGGGTGCTGGTGCTACGGCTGCGGCAGCGGCCGCCGCAACGTTCCCAGACCCACCCCTCCCACCCGCGGGGTCTGGGAGTTGCGAGAGGGCGGGCGCGTGCCCGGGCTCGCGCACGCGCAAAAGCCGGACCGGTCAAGCTGCTACCAGGAGATTCCCCGAACCATAGAGACGATAGCTAGAGCGACTCGGGCGGCCAATCTGGGATCTGGCGTCTGGTTGGTGGAGGCTGGTTTGCGCACTCCAAGGGTTGACAGTTCTTAACAGAAGCGCGGGTATTGCTCTCAGAAAAAACTCACTTGGCGTTACTTCATTTATAAGAGTAAAATATAGGATGTTAGTGTCCTTCCAGCTCTAATTGGTCACTAGTCAATTTTACGATTTTTGCCTCCTTCTACGCTACAGTAAAGGATTTCATTGCTTCATGGCATTATCTTCTCCACTTCATCTTCGACAGTACTACAAAAGTCAACTTTCTTTCCCAGAACCGCGTTTCGGTACATTGTTTCTGTTATTACCTAAGGAGGGAGAAGAAGTGGAATCAGGCGGAGAAGGACTAATCATAATTTCAGCAACCAATGATGGATTAAAATGAGGTGATGACTAGGGAATAGAAATGAAATGTATTTAAAGTATAAAATCACAAGATGTGACAACGAACCAAGGAGCGATAGAGGAACCAACAATCACTACAAAGCTATAAAACTGAAACTGATGTGGTTTGAAATAGGAAATTGAGTTGGAAAAATTTTTCCTGATTAATAGAGGAAACATCTGGTAAAGCAAAAGGCTGGAACTGTCTAGTATACAGTTAAGAGTTCCAAAAACTTAAGTTAGGGTTTAGGTTTGGAAATGCAGGTTGATTAGTCATCTGCTAATGAAACTTTAGATGTATAATAAGTGACATCAAACCTTGGAAGAAAGAACAAGGTGGAGTGACCCAAAGATGTCATCATTTCAGAATAGAAAAAAAAATTGTATTGCAAAAGATTAAAGAGTCAGGCAGCAGTCCTAAATAAGATGAACAGCAAATATAGAACTCTCATTCTAGAACTGTGTCAGTGAAAGCAAAGACAAAAATGGAAGAATGAAGTAGAAATCACAGGAAAAAGTATTGTGGAGTCTTTAGAAATTACATTTATTATTAGATCTGATAGTATATAATAATAATAATGACTTATTATTAGAACCTAATAATAATCCTAATTTGTTATTAGGATCTTTCAGGAGGAAGAAATGACTTCTGGGACACAGGTAGAAAAGTCAATATGGCAAGAGATAAAAATATTTTTGAATTATATATGTTGATAGTGTAGTACTCCAAAATATGTAAAGAATTCACATAACTAAACAATTAAAAGACAAACCAATTTTAAAATGGGCAAAGGACTTGAATATATATTTTTCCAAAGAAGATGTTAATGAGATATTAATAAGCATATTTAGTCATATTACCTTTAGGAAAAGGCAAATCAAAACTACAATGACATAGTACTTCACACACACAAGCACTTTAGCAATTTTGAAAAAAAACAAAATAACAAGTATTGGAGAGAATGTGGAAAAGGTAATAATTGCTGATGGTATAGCTACTTTAAAAAATAGCTCATTAGTTATTCGATAAGTCAAACATATCATTACCATACAACCCAACAATGCTACTAGTAGGTGTATATCTAAAAGAATTGAAAACAGGTGTTCAAAACAAAAATGTTTTACATGAATGTTCAAATCAGTAACAGTCATAGTAACCAAAAGCTGAAAACAACCCAAATGGATAACCAAAACTGGTATATTCATATAATAAAATGTTATTCAGTTATAAATAGGAATAAAGTACTGATACAGTACAACCTGATGAATCTCAAAAACATTATGCTAAGAAACAAGACACAAAGATAACATGTTATATAATTCCATTTATATGAAATATCCAGAATAGGTAAATAGAAACAGAAAGCAGATTAATGATTTTCAACCACTGGGGGAAGGGGGAATGACGCCCAGTGGATATAAGGTTTTATTTTGGGGTGAAATAAAATGAATGAATATGGAGTGAACATGAAAATGTTTTGGAACTAGAGAGAAATGGTGGTTGTACAACATTGTGAATGTACTAAATGTCACTGAATTCTATATTTTAAAATGGTTAATTTTGCCATACACAGTAGTACACGCATGTAATCCCAGAGACTCAGGAGGCTTAGGCAGCAGGATTGCAAGTTGAAGGCCAGCCTCAGTGATTTAGTGACATCCTAAGCAATTTAGTGAGCCCTTGATTCAAGATAAAAAATAAAAAGGGCCGGTAGAGGTGGTGCACGCTTGTAATCTCAGCAGCCAGGGAAGCTGAGACAGGAGGATCTTGAGTTCAAAGCCAGCCTCAGCAACGGCGAGGGGCTAAGCAATTCAATGAGACCCTGTCTCTAAATAAAATACAAAATAGGGCTGGGGATGTGGCTCAGTGGTTGAGTGCCCCTGAGTTCAATCCCCAATACTAGAAAATAAATAAATAAACAAACAAACAAACAGGCAGACACATAGATAGATAGATAGGGCTAGAGACTTAGTGATAAAGCTTGCCTGGTTTAATCCCTGGTAGCAAAATAAATTAAAATTGTTAATTTTATGTTATGTACATTTCATCTCAATTTTAAAAAAATTTAACTTAGCATATTTAACTAAAAAGAGCCAATAAAAATAAAAAATTTTTAACAATATAGGAGATGTCTAGACTAAGATATTTATGTGAAGATAAAGAGGAGGGTATCTGAGAGAGTCTAATCTGAATCATTTGTCTTTTTTACCTTCGTTCATTCCACCTAGAAACTTTATCTTGCAATTTTCTTCCTGCTGTCAAATAATTCCTAATTAACTTATTCCTTTCTAGCTACCACTATATTTCTCCTTTTATGAAATCATACTATTTTAAAACTTCAGTTTCTCTATAAATGGCTTATTTTGGTCATTTCCTTCCTGTCACAGCAAAGGATTAATGAATCATGATAACCCATTTCAACCATACAATTTTCTCAGTGTGGAATTAAAAAATGAAGAAAATTTATATTTTCTATGTACTGTAGCAGAGCATGGTGGCACGCACTTGTAATCCCAGCAACTCATGAGGTTGAGGTGGGAGGATTGCAAGTTCAAGAGCAGCCTCAATAACTTAGACCATGTCTCAAAATAAAAAGGATTGAGAATGTAGTTCAAAACCATGGGATTAAGGGTTGGGGTTGTGGCTCAGTGGTAGAACACTTGCCTAGCACATGAGGCACTGGGTTTAATCCCTGGTACCATATAAAAAATAAATAAATAAATAAAATAAAGGTATTATGTCCATCACTAAGAAAATATTTTAAAAAACCATGATTCAGAAACTGTCTTATGCTTATTGTAATATATGCAGTTTTCATTGCTCATGAATGAATGAAAGATTAACATAACAGCTATTTTTTAACCTTTGTTTTATTTACTTATTTTTATGTGGTGCTGAGGATTGAACTGAGGGCCTCACACATGCTAGGCAAGTGTTCTACCACTGAGCCACAACTCCAGCCCCTAACAGCTATTTGTTTTGTATCAGTGTGCACTAGCAAGACCTAAAATAATCATAGATTGTCCTCAATCTATACTGATATATAAGCTATGAGTCTTTGATGATAAACAGATTAAACAAATTGCAGTCAGAATGTCCATTTTGACTTTGATTGACATGTAGAAAAATTCGATATCAAAATCCAAATGAAAGTTTTGTACAATAGTAGAGATGTACCATCTGTAAAAATTTGATTTGCTACTGAAATCTTCTTCAACTTCTGCAAATAGTTTACGTTCCATGCATGCCTGGTAAAACCCCAGCTGGTAAAAGAGAGTGACTAGGACTAAGGTTGTGGATTATAATTAGATAACAAATATTGAAAGGATGCATATTGCAGATTAACTCAGCAGGGTGAGATATGTGGGAAATGAATGATAGTAAAATCACAAAGCAGCTGCTGTTTGGTAAACCACAGCATGACAAGCCACAAACCCAGAGACAGATGAAATGCTTTTAAAATGTGCACTGATCCTTTGGGGAAGCAAACTGATGCTACATATTAAGAGGCACTCTAATCCTACTCCTGGGAATTTGTCATAAGGAAATCATCCCAAAGAGTAAGATAAAGCTGTACAAAATGCTTTTAGCAAAATGTTTTAGAATTAAAAATTATAACCTATCTGAGTCAATAATATGGAAAGTGAAGGTAAAACTAGATGTCAGTGAAATGTTAAGACAATTAAAATGACAAAATGTTGAAATATGGGTAAATTTTACAAAATAATACTAGATAAAGAGTAGAGATAGGGGCTGGGGATGTGGCTCAAGCGGTAGTGCGCTCGCCTGGCATGCGCAGGGTGCCGGGTTTAATCCTCAGCACCACATAAAAATAAAATAAAGATGTTGTGTCCACCGAAAACTAATTTTTTTTTTAATATTTATTTTTTAGTTATCGGCGGACACAACATCTCTGTTTTGTATGTGGTGCTGAGGATCGAACCCGGGCCTCACGCATGCCAGGCGAGCGCGCTACCTCTTGAGCCACATCCCCAGCCCTCCACCGAAAACTAAAAAATAAATATTAAAAAAATTGCATACCACAATTATACTGATTTTTAAAACTGCATAACTAGCATGATAAAGATTTTTAAAAAGATCAAAAAGGATAGACATGAAATGAGAATGATTAGAGTTTTTAAATTTTTATACTTTTTACTAATATTTTTAAAATTGATTAAATGCTCACTCTTTAAAATAATGTTCTGAAATGCTTTTTCAAATGTATGTCATAGGGTTGGGGATTTAGCTCAGTGGCAGATCATTTGGTTGCCTAGCACCTACAAGGCCTTCAGCCCTGAAAAAAACGAAAAAAACCAAATGCATGTCATAGTTATAGATTGTGAAGAAACAAGAGT